TGGCTTATAGATCGGCCATTCATGATTCCACATCACGGACCCCAGCCAAAGTTCTGTTCGGAAACGAATTAAAGCTACCTGGCGATTTGATATTCGGTGCTACCCCAAACGACGATGCGAACCAAGATGAAGACAGTCAAAACTCTTTTAGTAAAGTCCACGATGCAGTTCGCCATCGAATAAAAATGGTTAGCAACCGCATGAAGGCAAGGTACGATCGAGCGGCAAATACCGATGGGTTCCAAGAAGGGCAACTGGTACTATTGTTCAACCCACAACGAAAGAAAGGACTATGCCCCAAATTGCAAACGCACTGGGAAGGACCCTACAAGATTGTCACGAAAATAAATGACGTCGTTTATCGCATCCAGAGGAGCGACAGTCCCAGGTCGGAGATGAAAGTTGTACATTTGGAGCGGCTGACCCCCTACGGAACGGGAACTGTGCCTATTCGGGACGAACAGGCTTATGCGGGGGGCAATGTTACGAATATAACTTTAGATTTAAGTTAATTTAGATGAATTCCGTTAATTTAAGAATTTTAATTGTAACGTAAATTTCTACTACGCAGTTTATTTGAATAACTTCACAACAACAACTACTGTATAGATTTTTCTACATCCTTCCATTTCCTCTTTCATTTTCTATTTTTGTTATTGTCGTACAATTCTTGTTAAACGTCATTCCTCTTTCTTTGTTATTCCCTCGCCTGTATATGTGTTGTTGTTATTGTTTACTCAATGTAAGTTTGTATGTGTGTTTGTTGCATTGGTAGATTGTTCGTGATCTAGGTGTTACCAGATCGTCTAGAAACTTCTGTAGCGACAAGCAAGGCTCATATAAATAGGGGAAATGGAAAGGCAGTGAGTCAGTTGTGAATCAGATCGCGAATTGAAACCGTCGTGTAAAGTAAAGTGCAAAGTAAAGTTGTGTGAATAAAATCATTGTAATAATCGTAATCCGAAAGAACCTGCGTTTTATTTGGTACGAATTGTATCGGGAAATAAAACAACGTCTACACGGGATTTAAGTGAAATCCAAGAACGTAACAATATATCCAGAAAAGTGACTTGGTTAAAATTTAATTTGATCTTAAGTTTTATTAGACATATAATAGACGTTGTGAACGGTGTATTCTAGTATGATTTAAGATTGCCTTTTTAATGCTAGAGTATTTAAATACCGAAAAATTTAGACAGGATCGAGAATTTACAGTGGTAGACGTTCATGCTCGTCCTAAATAAAGGGAAATAATCTTGTCGGAATATGATATATGTATTTATGTTCATATATATTGAAATCTGATTATGAACAATTAATATGAATAGGCTACATATTGTCATATACATTTGTGAAAATTTAATTAAACTACACGAGCGAAAATAGACATCTTTTCTTCATAAAGAGCTAAAGCTTAAAAATGGTAACGAAATGGTTTGTATAATACTGATTGACAGAGTAATATTATAAATTCGAAGTCACCATAGGAACTAAAAAAATTTTTAAAGTTAGCATGAGGAAAACATCATGTTTCAAATATAATCGTCAATTTTTTCTGTAAAATTAATAAATATCAATTTGTAAATTTATTTCTATGACATATTAAATTGTGGAATGAATTGTAATTGTAGATAGCATAATGTTACTCCAATGTTTTGTAAATACTTGTCTAAAACTTGTGTCTTATAAACTCTCGATATCCAAGGAAAATTGAAGTATCAACGAATTGTTTCAATTTATATACCAAATCTCCTTATTTATAGGAAAAGAAATCAAAAACTAAAAATTAAAAGGGAGTGTATTAAATAAAAGTATACCATTTTCCCTTTTTCTAACACAACCAAAATTGAAAAACCGTTTTACCAATTCCATTGGCGCTTTTGCTATCATAATTTGTTATATGTATACGTTTACTAATAATTCATAAATTTGGTACAGTTGTCACCAATTCCTTTTTGTATACTAATGTTTTTTGCTTTGAAATGAGGTTTGTTGATTACAATTCTTCTTAATTATTTTTTTCTATTTGAAATTGGTACAGTTTACGACAAGTTGTTTTGCTGGTGATTGACTGAGATCGCCTTATTAATATTGAAAGTGGGAGTGGGGAGGTGTAGTTTTCGGAGAGTATTCAACTAGGCTCTCATTGAATGAAGCATTTTAAAAATTTGCCTGGTAACGGACATTTTTGCTTCTCTTACGTTTTTGCTAAAACTATTGTTGTTTTGCATTTGCATGTGCGATTTCAAAAGTGGGAGTGGGGAGGTGACATTTTTGGGAGAGTACTCAATTTGGCTCTCATTGAATGAAGCATTTTAAAAATTTGCCTGGTAACGGACATTTTTTGCTTCTTTTACGTTTTTGCTATGAATATAGTTGTTGTTCATATGCAAGGTATAATTGTCAGTGTAGTTGTCTCTTTCATACTGATTATGCGAATGTATTTCTTTGTGTATGAGAATGAATTGTAGTTCAAAAAGGAAATAAGAAAATGACGCTCTCATCCGGTTGATATTTAATTTATAATAACGGTCGTTCTCTTTTGCCTTTTCAATGTTTCTCCAAAAAAATAAAAAAAATGTTGCAGAGGATAAGAACTCTTTCTAGAGATTTATTGAGAGAAATACAGTATTCCGCCTAATGATTTTGGCAAAGAACGTGAATTTAATGGTAGTCTTTAATAAAGCCAATAAATAATCTATACAAAATTATTTTGTTCTTAACATTCAAATTTCATAAACGAGCATTAATTGAACATATTATTAAAATGTTTAATTATAGGTATTGCTTTAAAACATAATTTTGGTTTGAAATCAATAAATATTTATACAAACATTCGCAGATTCATTTTTATTATAGCCATATTTTGGCGTTTTTAAAAACAATATGTAATGCGTAAAAATAATTTTGCAGAATACTGTACAGTTCTTCTTCTGACTTCTGAGAATATTGGGAGATGAGGCGAAATTGTCAAATTATTTTCATAGACAAGGGAGAGGGTGGCGGTTGTCCAATTATTTGCAAGGAGAGAGTAGGTGTTATGATGTTCGTTTTAGTCTCATTGATTAGAGTAATTGTTTTATGTGCTCATCTTCTACCAATTTTGGTAGGGAAGACAAATTTAAAATTATGACAACCAATGAATGGTAGATTTTAAAGCAATTAATGGGATATTTCATGTAAATTATATGAATCATGAACTTTCAATTATGATATAGATCCTACTTATGTTTATTGTACTTATTGTTAAGGTGTTAATCTAAAACTTAAATTTTAGAAAAAAAAGAACCTCTCTTAACTTAGATCAGATTGTCGATAATACAAATATACACTTTCCAGAAAAGCTTGCATTGAGATGAAAATATTTATAAACATCTAAAATTAATTATATTTATATCAGAAAATAAATGGAATGAATTAGAAGATAAACATATAAACAATTATGTAACTTCAATGTGGTAATATAATATAATTAGATTTTGCATTTTCTTTTTTAATTTTTTAACATCCCATATTGCCAAATTTGATTTTGTATTATCGACATCCCTAACTGAAATTATCACGAAAAGGAAGATGGCGATGAGAAACGCAACGGACACCCTAACTTAAATCAAACTTTTCAACTTAAATTCATTCGTGTTTATCCGTTAAAGTGTTAAGATCGAAATTGTTTTCCAGTGATTTAAAAAAAAATTAGTAAAAATGCCAAGAAATTGTGTTTTTATGTGCAAGTGTTTTAAACATTTATATGTGTTTCCAACCGATAACCATGAGTATCGTGCGAAATTTACTTTTGGCAACAACCAACCAGATAATATCGACGACATAAATCAAAACATTTTTTGAGTAAGCAATGTTAATGCATTTACAAATGTTCGTTTTTAAACAAATAAGTAATAAATTAAATAAATTTACGTCATGTTAATCGATATTAATGTCATTCTGGAAATCTCGCATCTTGGTTCATTGCATGCAATATTACTAGATTTGCATTTACGTGAAATATGAATATATATTATACCGTTGTCTTTGCTAATTAAGGTTTATGCATTTAATATGTTTCTATTAAATGCATAAACCTTGATTAGTATTTAGTGTTGCTATCACAAAATAGCCGTCTATTAAAATTAATTAACGGTCTCTTTTATTCAAAATAAGTAAATATTGATCTGTGTGTTCAATAATCAGTTTTGCAGTTCAAATTAAATTCATAAACTAATGCCGCATATTTGAATGTTTAATTTTTCAGAAGTACCAACTCAGGACCAATATCATAATTTAAGCCAATATTTGAGAATATGTCCAGAGGAAGGGAATATCAATAATGATGATTGCCAAGTAAGCACTGTTCTCGAAGAAGGAAACGATCCAATAACATTGAAACTGGAGTCGCCGACTTTGTTATTGGATTCCCAGAACAAAATTTCCCAATTGGCATCGGCAAATGAACTGCTTCCATCTCAGCAAAATTATTTACAGGCCTTGAAACCAAGTAAATGCTATGAGAGGAAAAGCTATGCAATTAATTATAAAATTATGGATTCTCAACAAGATGGTGTATGCACTTGCACCTGTCATAAATCGGAGAAGAGCTTGATTTCAATGAACAATGAGTTATTGGAAAATAACAAGAAATTGGTAATAGAAATAGAGAGGCTAAAAAACATGATAGAAGTTGAAAAAACCATTCGCGAATCCATAATAAAAAACACGAAAATGCAGAGGAGGTGCTCCAACAAAACATAAATGAGATGACCACGGCCCTTAAATCAATCCACAGCAATTCAATATACCTAAAGGATGTGGAAGGTAAAGCATCAGCTCATTTCTCTAAAATGATATGTAACCCCGTAATGCAGTACAATATAAATGAAAAAAATATTGCCCAGTCGCTATACCTAACTTCCAGGAAGATATACAATTTTATGAGAAATGAGCTGAATTTTAACCTTCCACATCCCGAAAGTTTTTTAAATTGGCGTCCCATAAAAAGGGTAGAGATGGGTGTTGATCCACACCTTATGGAAAACTTAAGAAGAATTGTTTCAACATGTTCACTACGTGAGCGTCAAGTAATTATAGCATTCGACGAAATGGAAGTACGAAAGGAATTGGAGTTCAATAAAGCGGACGACGTTGTGGATGGGTACCAAGATTTTGGAGGTGGCTGCAGGAATGGAGCTATTGCCTCAAAAGCCTTAGTGTTCATGGTGAAAGGGTGCTGCAGCAACTGGAAGTACATAATGAGCTTTTATGCCTCATCAAATGCCGTACATGCGGACCAACTAAAAAGCCTATTGCTCGAAAACATTGATGCTGCTACTGATATTGGTCTCATAGTGAGGGGCATAGTTTGTGACCAAGGCTCATCCAATTTGAGACTGAACAGAGAGATCTGTACGGAGAGCGACCATTTCTTCATCTACAAAGACGCGAAAATTGTATTTCTTTGGGACTTTCCTCACCTTTTTAAGTCCCTAAGAATCAATTTATTTTCGAAAGGTTTCAAAGTGGATGGATACAGCATTAATAAGGAACCAATAGTAGCGGTCTATGAGCATGACAAGAAAAACTTCAATGTCAAATTGTGCCCAAAATTAACCGAAAGACATGTATATTTGTCAAGTTGGGACAAAATGAACGTGGCCAGGGCAATTCAAGTTTTCAGCCGCACTGTGGCCGCAGCTATTGACACCCTCATATCAAATGGCAAACTCAATGAAAGTGCAAAGCCCACGAGCGAGTTCCTTAAAAAAATTAATGACATATTCGACGAGCTTAATGTGAAAAGTTTGCACACATCGAACCCAAATAATAAGCCGATTCACAAGGGATGCAATGCTAAAATAGAAAGGCTCAAAAATGCTTTGGAATATGTCCAAAAAATTGAGACAACCAACATGGTGAAATGTGTCAATGGGCTTGCACAAACTATCCGCGGTATGGTACTGCTTTCTGAAGAGGTGTTCGATAGCTGTAATGACGTGAATTATGTTTTAACGGGAAAGCTCAGCCAGGATGCTTTGGAGAACGCGTTCTCAAGATTTCGTGCCCAGGGAAACAACAGCCACCCATCCGTTCGTGAGTTGAGGCTCTATATTGCGAGATACTCCTCACAAAAATTTCTAGCTACTGCTCGGGGTAGCTCATTGAAAAATTGCGAGGACGACAATGCTCAATATACATATATTATGCGAAAAAGCAACTACATTCAAAGCTGCAAGTATTAATAAAAATGCACAAAGAAATGTTGTTGAACAATTCCTGAAAGACCTCAACACGGTTCAAACTAATGACGTTGAAATGCAGGCAGAACGATATGTATGTGCTGGGTTACACAATATTGAAAAGTGTTATAAAAAAGGCGGAATGCCCAGCATGCCAAAAGCAGCGGCTGAAAATTAAATTTCGGAAATGTTTATAAAAATGAAAAATTTCAACGATCACAATTTATATCTATAAAATCCAGATGACAGAACATTTCTGGTATATCAATTCGTTATTTTCTGGTACAAAAATATATTTGAAAATTTTTCATACATACCCAATTTGAAAGAGGTAATATACGAGGCTATTACAAATAAAATCAATACCACATTCCCCTGGTTCTTTCAAAATGGAAAGTGCGGAGAACACAGAAAACACCACCTGCAGTACCTCTTGCGGCTCTTAATTTTGAAAAAATCGATGTGGCTTTCCAGACATTTAACACTGGATTATACTCAAAATCGAATATCTAATTCCAAAAAACGAAAGCTTAACATAGCTATCAACAGTAACAAAAGAGTAAAGACTGATTAAGTAAGTTCCTTGATTCAATAATTTGTTTGGACATATTTCAATAACTATGTGTATAATTTCCTTTTCAGTTAAATATTTGCTACTGATATCTGATCGGAGATTATGTCAAAATCAAATGTCAATTAACAACATAAATTCACAAATTCCGTAGGTATATACCTATACTAATCGTACTAAATCAATGTTATCGTACTAAATCAACGATTTCTGTTATCCATTCGAGATCAATTTGCTTGGTTTTTAAACATTTTTTGCATTAAAGTAGAAACAGCATCTACGTAAATACATTTTGGAGGTCAATATCATGAAAAGTTTGTAATGATCAATAAATCTAAAACTATTATATTTTTCTCATATATGTAATTTAATAAATCCTGATTGATAAACGGGTTATTCTCGTCTTCAGCTATGTTAAAAAATTGGCAATACAATATTAATATATATATATTCATATACATATATATGTATTTTTTTCTTTATTTACAGATCAATGTACTACATTTAATACACATAGTAAATCTAAAATTCACATTACATTGCATAAATGTCGAATTTATCATCATAGAGGAGTTTACCCGGAACAAAATTATAATGTACATGCCGTTTTATAGATATAATGTTATCTATGCCAGAACACACTTATTACGTGTTACGGAACAATGCAGTATAGTTTGGTAAGTTTTACTACAGCTTTACTAAATCAAATATTATTTTAACATGTTTTCTTCTTCTAACAGTATTGCAATAGTTTAACTAAAAACTATGTTCCAAGGTCAATCGGATCTACGCTTCGGAACGACCAACTCTGCCAGGGATAAACTCAGCAACAGTCGTGTAGAAGATTTTTTTCCGACAATAAATTTTGTGTAATCATTGACATGATTAAAGGTACTATCCTTATTTACATACAAACACATAATATATACATATGTATTTTACATTTATATTACAATCATTTTTATAGTTATTTGTTTAATGCTAAATCATTATCGTAACATATTGATGCCAAAATAGAAAATGCATATGGATACCAATTCCAAATTTCATCTTGATTTGCCCATCATAATTTTGAAAAGGTATGTAAATATAATGACATTCTTATCAGCATATTAATACGTTTGCATTTTACAGTTTCCACGGCTCTCCTCACTATTTTAGTGAGTGTATGATACCAAAATGGAAAATGCATATGGATACCAGTCATGGATTGGTCACTATTTGGTGGCGACATGGAAGTGCCACAATGGATTTTTATCCAAATTTCACATTGTTTGCCCAACATAATTTTGAAAATGTATGTACGTATAATGATATTCTTATTGCCATTTTAATACGTTTGTATTTTACAGTTTCCACGGCTCTCCTCACTATTTTAGTGAGTGTATGATGCCAATATGGAAAATGCATATGGATACCAATCATGGATTGGTCACTATTTGGTGGCGACATGGAATGGATTTATATCCAAATTTCATCTTGATTTGCCCATCATAATTTTGAAAAGGTATGTAAATATAATGACATTCTTATCAGCATATTAATACGTTTGCATTTTACAGTTTCCACGGCTCTCCTCACTATTTTAGTGAGTGTATGATGCCAAAATGGAAAATGCATATGGATACCAATCATGGATTGATCACTATTTGGTATTTATATATGATGTTATTGAAACTGCAAGAATATTCTAGGACTTGGGATTCCTTTTCGTTTTCCCTTAATAATTTTGATAATGTAAACTATATTTTCCTTTATATTATTTTAAAAGATTAAAATGTCAAATTGAAATAAATTTATTATTGTGCACTGCAATATGTAGTTTTGCTACAAATGCATTATTTTTTTCCAGTATGCATTTTTTCTTTTAATAAATTAAAACAAAATTTCAAACGCAATATAAGATTTCAGTTTCAATATTTGATAATGGATGGATTCAGGTAATATGGAGTCTGATTTTTTGAATGCTATCAATTATCCCCAAATTGCTGAAGTTCACACATTTTGTATTGTGTTCCTTAAAGAGTTTCTTGAACGCGTTCCAACCATTTTCAATAAGTTTTTATATGCCATTTCATCAGGTTCCTATGATGTTCATTTATATTTTTTAAACGTCTTTCAGATAAATCTATCGTAAGTAATGCTACATACTAAATTTCAGATTTACAACATTCTCCGTCCGTCAGTGGAACAGTAGCTAGCACTAAATTCTTTGAAATTGAACTTCACATGAAATTTACATCTTGGGATGGGATGGTAGCTTACATCTCCGACCTACCTAGACACGTTCAGTCGAAATCGCTTCCTAGTAACTGGACCTTATTTGATATCGCTTATAATTACATTTCCGACCTACCCAGGCACGTTCAGTCGAAATCACTTCCTAGTATCTGGACCTTATTTGATATCGCTTTATCAACAAATGCGATATCTTTTGGCAGATACAAGCGCTCAATTCGAAATTATTGGGCCCCGTTTTTTCCTAGTGGAGGCCACAAAACCAATTATAATATTATTGGAGACTGGGGTGCATTGCTGTGGAGGGATTGAACTTCTCCCACCCCAGTTCTCAAAATCCAACGATGCGACGCCGCCAGCACATTATAAAAAGCTGGAAGGGCATCGGTTTTATGAATATTCCATCCACTGGAAATAGTTGGCCACAAAACCAACTACAATATTAAATATTATTGGAGACTGGGGTGCATTGCTGTGGAGGGATTGAACTTCTCCCACCCCAGTTCTCAAGATCCAACGATGCGACACCGCCAACACATTACAAAAAGCTGGAAGGGCATCGGTTTCGGTAGCTTTTGCGGTAGCTTTTGCGGTTGGCCATAAAACCAACTACAATATTAATATTATTAGAGACTGGGGTGCGTTGCTTCGGAGGGATTATACTTCTCCCATCCCAGTTCTCAAAATCCAACGATGCGACGCCGCCAGCACATTATAAAAAGCTGGAAGGGCATCGGCTTCTTAATTTTCCATCCACTGGAAATAACTTTGGTAGCTTTTGCGGTAGGCCACAATACCAACAACAATATTAATATTATTAGAGACTGGGGTGCGTTGCTCTGGAGGGATTATACTTCTCCCACCCCAGTTCTCAAAATCCAGCGATGCCATCCTACCGTGTTTGAAACGTTGGATAATCAACTATATGTGTGGACGCCAGTCGTATGTGGAATTCAGAAACAGGAAGTCTAAACCCCCTAGAGTGAAACAGGAAGTTCCCCGAGGGAGGGGTGATATCCCCGGAACTGTTCAACCTCTACCTTTCTGATATTCCACAACCACCGGACGGCATAGAGCTCGTAATGTATGCGGATGATTGTACGATCATGGCGTCGGGTCCCATTATTGATGATATATGTGGGAGGCTAAACGTCTACATAGCCGATCTTGTAAATTTCTTCCATCTGAGGAATATGAAAATATCCGCCACCAAATCAACAGCCACACTCTTCACCACATGGACGGCTGAAATAATGCTCCCACTGAGCACCAACTACCCCAAAATACTGGGAGTAACGTTCGACAGCCTTTTTCAAGTCGTCTGCGCAAGCCACTGCTTTATGAGATAAGCTGAGAAGTAGGAACAAGATCCTCAGTACAAAGAAACAAAGCTTGTTGACCTCTTATAAAGCAATAGGCCGGCCAGTGTTAAGCTATGCGACGCCAGTGTGGCTCGCGAATGTTAGTGATTCGCAGTGGAAGAATATGCAGACCTCCCAGAACACAGCCCTGATAACTGCAACAGGGTGTCTCCTCATGACTTCTGTGGACCATCGTCACAATTGTATGTTATCGATGCAGTACTTGCTTGGGTGCTATCGTCGGGAATATCCCTGCCATAGTCTTATGGGGAGGACTCACCCAGGCACGCCAAGAAAGATCTTCATGCTCTAGAGCGTGAACCCCTAGATCAAGAAGTCTATCAAGCAGTTCTGAATGGTATTCACACGGACGCTCAGGCAGTACAGCAACATCGCGTAAATACCATAATTGGAGACCACCCCATCCATCGCAGCAGAGGAGAAGCAGCTGCCAAGGCAAACACGAGTGGTCTTAGCTCAAATAAGATCAGGATGGTCAACCGCCTCAATTAATATTGGGCAAGAATTGACGGCACGTTGCACCTTTTCAACTGCCCAGCTAAGCCGACTCATATATCGCCGAATTCGCTTTGGACGCAACCCATTCAAGTTGCAACTTTCTTGAATTTACAGTTAGAGGAAGCAGAACCAGTCGATGAATAACAATCTACATATATTCTGTTGCTGTAACAACAACAATAACATTTTCAATCTAAACATTTGTATCTGAAACATATGCATATGACACAATGTATCTACAGTTTGTATCTGTTAGGGTTAAATGAGTATCTCGTAGATACTATTTGGTATACAGAAACTTTCTCTAGCAACATGTTCATGCGGATATATGTTGCAGATACATGTTTGTATTGATTTAATGTTGCAGATAACCCCAGATAATGTGGCCAAGAAGAACAGTGGTTTGGATACACTGGAATGTAAAAAGGATCGATTCATCTAAGGAATACTTTTGAAGGGAACAAAAAAACGAGAGCTTGAATTTTATACAGCTGATTTTTTTTTAAAAAGTTTCAGATTTTTTATAAAAAAAATGCATTTCAATATTTGCCTTTTATTATTATATTTTCTTATAATATATTAAGTAGCCTCTCTCACTCTCTACATGGTGCCTCACACCTTCATAACCTCAATAATTTCATTATCTGTATATAGGCCACCGGCCCATGAAATAATATCCTTATAATGTTGCTTATGTATCTCCAAGATGACACAAGTATTCTCCTTATTACGTCTCAAATGATCGAGTACCATTTGACCACGTGTATGGGTGCCATTCAGCTCCACTGTAGCATGATAGAGGCGGCTACGTGTTATGGCCAGCTGAGGGAAACAATAGGCGGCCACCAACACAGCATCGCAGACAATCCAACGAACGAAACCTTTGGAAACTAAAATTGCCTCTTCCACAGCGTTCATGAGGCGTATGGCTTTGGAATCGACTTTACCAAGGATGTTTAGGCGCCAGTCCTGCGGTGTGGGAAGGAAATAGATTAATATTTGAAAATTTTAAAGGATATATACGGTTACCATTTCCAAATTCATATCACCATCAATACAGGTTTCCCATGGCAGTAGAGATATGGGTTTATCCACCGACTCCAAAACTATGTGGGCAGCTTCGGGGTCCATCATGAAATTGAATTCGGCACTTTTTGTGATGTTGCCTTTGCCTGAAATCAAGAAGCAAGACAGTCGTGGATTTTTAAAAAATATTTTTTCAAGGACTTAAGGCAGGCGTGCTTTTTTTTAAATCTATTTTCAAGGACTTAAGACAAGCGTGGATTTTTATAACCTTCACCACACTGTGGTACAGGATATTATGTCTTTGTGCATATGTTTGTAACAGGCAAAAGGAAACGAGATAGACACATGGTTCCTTTTGAGAATATACATAGAATCACTTTTTAAGTCGATTTATGCATGTCTGTCCGTCCAACCATCCGTCTGTCCTTGTTAAATTAAACAAAGTACAGGTCGCATTTTTTATTAGAATTGGATGAAATTTGGCACAGCTCATTTATTTGGTCCAAGGACGAACCCTATTGAAATTGGAAAAAAATCGGTTCCGATTTAGATATAGCTCCCATATATATTTTCGTCCGATTTAAGGTAAATGGTGCACCAAAGTGCCTATATATCTTTCGATTTGCACGAAATTTGACATAGCGAACTGAATAAAGTCTAGAGTGATGCGTGTTAAGTTTCGGAAAAATCGGTTCAGATTTTGATATAACTCCTATATATATTTTCGTCCGATTTTAGGTAAATATGGCACCAAAGTCCCTTTATATCCTTCGATTTGCACGAAATTTGGCATAGCGAACTGAATTAAGTCCAGAACGATGTGTGCTAAATTTTGTGAAAATTGGTTCAGATTTAGATATAGCCCCCATATATATTTTCGTCCGAATTTACCTAAATTGTGCACCAAAGTCCCTATATATCCTTCGATTTGCACGAAATTTGGTATAGCGAACTGAATTGAGTCTAGAATGATGAGTGGTGTATTTCGGGAAAATCGGTTCAGATTTAGATATAGCTCCCAAACATATATTCTCGTCCGATTTTAGGTTAATTGTGCACCAAAGTCTCTATAAATTCTTCGATTTTCATGAAATTTGGCATAGCGTAATGAATTGAGTCTAGAATGATGAGTGGTGTGTTTCGGGAAAATCGGTTCAGATTTAGATATAGCTCCCATATATATTTTCGTCCGATTTTAGGTTAATTGTGCACCAAAGTTCCTACATATCATTCGATTTCCACGAAATTTTGCATAACGTACTGAATTAAGTCTAGAACGATGTGTGTTAAATTTCGTGAAAATCGGTTCAGATTTCGATATAGATTCCATATATATTTTCGTCGGATTTGAGGTAAATGGTGCACCATAGTCCCTATATATCATTTGATTTCCACGACAATTGGCATAGCGTAATGAATTGAGTGTAGAATGGTGAGTGCTGAGTTTCGGGAAAACACGGTTCAGATTTCGATATAGCTCCTACATATACATCCTATAGTCGACCAAGTCCAACTTTATTACTCTCCTTACTGGTTTTATGTGTTTTTTTTCAAATACCAAATCTTACCCCTATAATTGCCACCCATTATCCAAATATTTCCAACTTTATCCAAGAAATCCGAACCATACATATTATTGCACATGGCGAAATTGGTGAGAGGTCCCACCAGCAGGAAGTCTACCATTTTGGGATGCTGAAATCGATATTCAATTATTTTCCAATTTAGAAAACGAAAATCCCCACATGTCCCCACTCACCTGACACACAAACGAATACATCATATTGACGGCATGTTCCTTCTGGGCCTTGGCATTAGTGACTTCGGGCAAATCGGGTATATCACCAAAACCATCCTGACCATGAAAGAGACGTTCGCGTGTCCATGTGCGTGGTAATATGGGATTTGTACAGCCTTTGTAGACGGGAATCTGAAGGGTAAAATTCACATTAACATTCTGCAGAAAATTGTTTTTCAAAATATTTACTTACATCCAATCGATCAACACTTTCGAGTACCCTTAGGGCATTTTTGGCACAATTATCCACAGTGGTATTGCCTTGGACACAAGTAATACCCAATATTTTATAGGGGCGACGACTGGATATCCCTTCAAATTGTTGTCCGGTTAGGGAGAGCTTGTGAAATAGTCGTTCACCCTTGATCAGCATCAAGAGGCCCCAGGCATCATCATTGCCAATGTCACAATCATAGACAACATAGCCACCAGTTGTTGCGGACATATTCAGAATTTAAATTCAAGACTTAGGTTTCTGAAAAAAGAAACAGAATTGTGGATTAAAATACATTTATAAAAATTCGAGGCTTTTTTAAAAATATTCGTTCGGATGGAGGCTCAAAACATATTCTTTAAAAATCAGCTAGAAGTCCTTTAAACAAATTTCTGTTATTTTCCCATCACTCCAAAGTGCGTATGGCCCTTTACTTTGACAAATGTCACATATCAAACTTCACCACAATAACAACAACAACAGATATAGGCCGAGAAGATACATTATTTCTCTCACCGAATATCCATTCCTTCGCACATTCCCTTCCATTATGGTCTCAATTTATTTTTCGCAATTTTATTTTTTCATTTCACTTTTTTTGTATTGATAAATTTTTTATCAGGCACTTTAGTATTAGAAGATATCTGGCACGTCTAGCACCATCACTTGTTATCAATTCAAAACAAGTTTTTTTTTTATTTATTTATTATTATTATTTACACTTATCTGAATTTAAAAACAAAACCAAAACACACACACACAATATGTAAATTCTGAAAAATAATACCTTAAAAGTTGGAAATTATTTAAAGTGGTTGGTAAACTCAACCAAACCGAACTATCTATACCCCGACACTGACTAGACGATACTAACTCTTTATGGTTTGCCGGTCGGTCCGACATTGGGTATGTGCGAGTTTATGGTAGCTGCCTGAGTGGTTTCAGATTATTTCCATTTATGCCCTTTTTTGTTTTTGGCTATTTCGAAGAGAGGCAAAAGAAAATCTCTTTTGGTCGCTCTGTGGCTATTAACCCTAAAGAATATAGGAGGACGCCAGTAACTGTGGATTATTTAAAGAATACTTTTAGGAGGTCCTCAAAAAGCGTGGATCTCTTAAAGAATATTTTTAGGAGGACCTTAGCATAATAAGCGTGGATTTTTAAAGAATAATTTTAGCAGAACCTTAGCATAATAAGCGTGGATTTTTAAAGAATAATTTTAGGAGGACCTTAGGAACATAAGCGTGGATTTTTTAAAGAATATTTTTAGGAGGACCTTAGGAACATAAGCGTGGATTTTTTAAAGAATATTTTTAGGAGGACCTCAGGAACATAAGCGTGGATTTTTTAAAGAATATTTTTAGGAGGACCTCAGGAACATAAGCGTGGATTCTTTAAAGAATATTTTTAGGAGTTCCTCCCTCGATAAGCGTGGATTTTTTAAAGAATATTTTTAGGAGTTCCTCCCTCGATAAGCGTGGATTTTTTAAAGAATATTTTTAGGAGGACCTCAGGAACATAAGCGTGGATTTTTTTAAAGAATATTTTTAGGAGGACCTCAGGAACATAAGCGTGGATTTTTTTAAAGAATATTTTTAGGATAACCTTAGGTACATAAGCGTGGATTTTTTTAAAGTATATTTTTATGAGGACATTAGGAACATAAGAGTGGATTTTTTAAAGAATATTTTTAGGAGGACCTCAGGAACATAAACGTGGATTTTTTAAAGAATATTTTTAGGAGGACCTTAGGAACATAAGCGTGGATTTTTTAAAGAATATTTTTAGGAGGACCTTAGGAACATAAGCGTGGATATTTTTAAATAATATTTTTAGTAGGACCTTAGGAACATAAGCGTGGATATTTTTAAATAATATTTTTAGTAGGACCTTAGGAACATAAGCGTGAATTTTTTAAAGAATATTTTTAGGAGGACCTTAGGAACATAAGCGTGGATTTTTTAAAGAATATTTTTAGGAGGACCTCAGGAACATAAGCGTGGATTTTTTAAAGAATATTTTTAGGAGGACCTCAGGAACATAAGCGTGGATTTTTTAAAGAATATTTTTAGGAGTTCCTCCCTCGATAAGCGTGGATTTTTTAAAGAATATTTTTAGGAGTTCCTCCCTCGATAAGCGTGGATTTTTTAAAGAATATTTTTAGGAGTTCCTCCCTCGATAAGCGTGGATTTTTTAAAGAATATTTTTAGGAGGACCTCAGGAACATAAGCGTGGATTTTTTAAAGAATATTTTTAGGAGTTCCTCCCTCGATAAGCGTGGATTTTTTAAAGAATATTTTTAGGAGTTCCTCCCTCGATAAGCGTGGATTTTTTAAAGAATATTTTTAGGAGTTCCTCCCTCGATAAGCGTGGATTTTTTAAAGAATATTTTTAGGAGTTCCTCCCTCGATAAGCGTGGATTTTTTAAAGAATATTTTTAGGAGGACCTCAGGAACATAAGCGTGGATTTTTTAAAGAATATTTTTAGGAGTTCCTCCCTCGATAAGCGTGGATTTTTTAAAGAATATTTTTAGGAGGACCTCAGGAACATAAGCGTGGATTTTTTAAAGAATATTTTTAGGAGTTCCTCCCTCGATAAGCGTGGATTTTTTAAAGAATATTTTTAGGAGGACCTCAGGAACATAAGCGTGGATTTTTTAAAGAATATTTTTAGGAGTTCCTCCCTCGATAAGCGTGGATTTTTTAAAGAATATTTTTAGGAGTTCCTCCCTCGATAAGCGTGGATTTTTTAAAGAATATTTTTAGGAGTTCCTCCCTCGATAAGCGTGGATTTTTTAAAGAATATTTTTAGGAGTTCCTCCCTCGATAAGCGTGGATTTTTTAAAGAATATTTTTAGGAGTTCCTCCCTCGATAAGCGTGGATTTTTTAAAGAATATTTTTAGGAGTTCCTCCCTCGATAAGCGTGGATTTTTTAAAGAATATTTTTAGGAGTTTCTCCCTCGATAAGCGTGGATTTTTTAAAGAATATTTTTAGGAGTTCCTCCCTCGATAAGCGTGGATTTTTTAAAGAATATTTTTAGGAGTTCCTCCCTCGATAAGCGTGGATTTTTTAAAGAATATTTTTAGGAGTTCCTCCCTCGATAAGCGTGGATTTTTTAAAGAATATTTTTAGGAGTTCCTCCCTCGATAAGCGTGGATTTTTTAAAGAATATTTTTAGGAGTTCCTCCCTCGATAAGCGTGGATTTTTTAAAGAATATTTTTAGGAGTTTCTCCCTCGATAAGCGTGGATTTTTTAAAGAATATTTTTAGGAGTTCCTCCCTCGATAAGCGTGGATTTTTTAAAGAATATTTTTAGGAGTTCCTCCCTCGATAAGCGTGGATTTTTTAAAGAATATTTTTAGGAGTTCCTCCCTCGATAAGCGTGGATTTTTTAAAGAATATTTTTAGGAGGACCTCAGGAACATAAGCGTGGATTCTTTAAAGAATATTTTTAGGAGGACCTCAGGAACATAAGCGTGGATTTTTTAAAGAATATTTTTAGGAGGACCTCAGGAACATAAGCGTGGATATTTTTAAATAATATTTTTAGTAGGACCTTAGGAGCATAAGCGTGGATATTTTTAAATAATATTTTTAGTAGGACCTTAGGAACATAAGCGTGGATATTTTTAAAAATATTTTTAGTAGGACCTTAGAAACATAAGCGTGGATATTTTTAAATAATATTTTTAGTAGGACCTTAGGAACATAAGCGTGGATATTTTTAAAGAATATGGATTATTTATAGAATATTTTTAGGAGGTCCTCAAAAGTGGGGATGTTTAATGAATATTTTTAGGAGGACCTTAGGCGTGGATTATTTAAAGGACATTTTTAGGAGGACCTTAGGAACAGAAGCCTGTATTTTTAAAGTATATTTTTTGGAGGACCTTAGGATCATAAGGGTGGATTTTTTTAAAAAATATTTTTGGGAGAACCATCAGTAAGCTTCGATTTTTAAAGAATATTTTTAAGAGGATCTTAATGTACGTGAATTTTTTAAACAATATTTTTAGGAATATTTTTCATCTTTAATCACATAATAATTTTTCGATCACCTCATCTCCTAATAGACCTCCAGTCCAGGCCACAATTTCTCTATAATTATCTGTATGTACCGACATAATCACATTTGCATTGCCTTCATCCTTTCGCTTGTGGTCGAGGACCATTTGGCCACATGTATGTTGTCCCACCAATTCCACCGTTGCATGATATAGACGACTCCTACTGATTATGAATTCCGGAAATAGGAAGGCAGCAACCAAGACAGCATCACAAATAATCCATTTCGCATAATCCAGGGGGCGTAGGAAGGAATTCTCCACAGTGTTCATTAAATGCATGACTTTTGAATCAACCTTGGATAGCACTTCAAAACGCCAATCCTAAGGAGAAAGGGAATCGGTTATTTTTTAATTCTAGATAAAATATCCGATTTTCTTACAGCATCATAATTCATTTCACCATCGATACAGGTTTCCCACGGCACCACCATCATTGGTTTGTTGACACTTTCAAAGACAATGTGGGCAGCCTCTGGATCCAGGCGAAAATTGAATTCAGCACTTTTCGTTACATTTCCCTTGCCTTGAAAATAAAGTAGTAAATTTTAGTCTTTTGAATTTATATTTGAGTATTTTTTAAAGTGTTACCTCTGTAATTTCCACCCGGAATATCTATTCCGCACCTTGTCCAAAAACTCTTTTCCGTACATATTAATGCAAACAGCAAAATTGGTTAGGGGCCCAACCAATATGAAATCGATTTGATTTGGATGCTGAAAAAATTTCATTAAAAAACATAGATTTTTCGGAAGCGTCGTACTAAGCGATTATGGAATATTTTTTTCTTTCTAAGACGTGGATTTTTTTTAAATATTTTTTTAAGGACCTTAGACCCTAGAGAATAGGTCTTGAGGGACATCCTCAATATTATTTATGGAGCAAAAAATTAGCGGAATTTTTAAAGAATATTTCGTGTCGGGAATATTTACCTTACAAACACTGGAGTACATCATGTTCACAGCATGTTCAGTTCGAGCCTGGACCTTTGTCACATACGGTAAATTTGCAACATCTCCAAAACCATCTAGACCATGAAAATGCTTATGTTCGAAGTTGGGCGGTATTATAGAATGATCGCAACCTCTATAGACAGGTATCTGAAATAAGATTAAAGATTAGTAAGGCACCAAATTAAATCCCATCAACTTACATCCAAACGATCGACTGCATCCAAAACCCTCAACGCATTCTCCACACCATTATCCACATCAGTATTACCCCGCACACAAGTCACACCAAGTATCTTAAAAGGCTTCACTGCACCATTAACTCTCTTCCCCTTGAGAGCCAAATCCTTCAACAACTTCTCTGCCTTGATTAACATTATCAAGGCCCAGGCATCATCGTTACCGATATCACAATCAAATATCACATAGTTTTCTTCCATTTTTTTCGCTTTTCGAATTAAAATTTAGCTACGTTTCTCCAACTTCGACTAATCGACAACTGGCAACAGCGAAATCTAATTATGCCATCTAATATTTTAACAGTGAAGCTGCTGGTAGGCTCGACTGACATTGTTTACAATTTAAAAAAAAAAATAAAGATTAAAATTATATGTTTATTATCACTATATTATAATGATCATAACTATTATTATGGTGGTAGTAGAAAAAAGGCTGAAAATTATCTGTCAAAACAGTGTTGAACAAAAATATGGGGACACTGAAATTAATACCTCCTAAAAATATTCTCTAAAAAATCCACGCTTATGTTCCCAAGGTGCTCCTAAAAATATTCTCTAAAAAATCCACGCTTATGTTCCCAAGGTGCTCCTAAAAATATTTTTAAAAAATCCACGCTTAGTGTTCTCAAGGTCCTCCTAAAAATATTCTTTAAAAATATCCACGCTTTAAAATATTATTTAAAAAGTCCCCGCCTATGTTCCTAAGGCCCCCTAAAAATATTCTTTAAAAAATCTACTCCTTATTGTAAGGCCCCCTAAAAAAAATTCTTTAAAAAATCCAGGCCTATGTTCCTAAGGTCCTCTTAATAATATTCTTTAAAAAATTCAGGCCTATGTTCCTAAGGTCCTCCTAAAAATATTCTTTAAAAATCCAAGCTTGTGTTCCTAAGGTCCTCCTAAAAATATTCTTTCAAAAATCCACGCTTATTGTTCTTAAGGTCCTCCTAAAAATATTCTTTAAAAAAATCCACGCTTATTGTTCTTAAGGTCCTCCTAAAAATATTCTTTAAGGGGACCCCCCCCATTCTCGGGGTCAAAATTTTTGTGGATATAATTCGAATCTACACTGATTAAAGAATGTCTCTACAAAATTTCAAATGAAAATCTCAAGAACTCTTGAAGATATATCCGATTTATTGTGTCCGCATCAAGTGACGTCTGAAGGGCTTCTCAAACTTTAAACGCGTTTTTCTCTAAACATTTTTTTGCGAATGGCGGGCACGATAACTCAAAAACTAATAATCCAATCGGTTCCAAATTTTGCAACGTTTCTCTGGGAGTGTATAGCTCTCGTATGAACTAGGATAAAGCCAATCGGTGAAGATCTTCCTTATTTTTTAATTTGGTTTTTGGTAAAAAATCGGCGATTTTCCAAAAATATTTTTTCAAAGGTCCACCATTTGGTTAATTTTAGAGCGAAGTCAATAATCCTAGTTCATACGAGAGCCAGACATGTACTCTTTCTATCACCGTCGGAATTATCGGATTCCGATGTTCCAGTTAGGAGTTATCATGGCCGCCATCAAAAATAAGGACTTTTCTTTAATTACAAAAAAACAACAACAATACAATAACAAATTTTTTTTGTAAATTATTTTTCTTCTCTTTTAAATCTTCAATTATATATGTGCATAGTTACAAACCTTAACAAGCATTGGTATTGATTTACCAGCCCATTGAAAATCTTAAAAAAATAAAATCGAGAATGGGGGGGGGTTCCCTTAAAAAAATCCACGCTTTTGTTTCTAAGGTCCACCTAAAAACATTCTTTAAAAAATCCACGCTTATGTTCCTAAGGTCCTAGTAAAAATATTATTTATAAAATTCACGCTTATGTTTCTAAGGTCCTCCTAAAAATAGGATTTAAAAAATCCACGCCTGTGTTCCTAAGGTCCCCCTAAAAATATTCTTTAAAAATTCCACGCTAATGTTTCTAAGATCGTCCTAAAGATATTTTTTAAAAATCGACGCTTATGTTCCTAAAGTCCTCCTTAAAAAATCCACGCTTATGTTCCTAAGTTCCTCCTAAAAATATTCTTTAAAAATCCCCGCTTCTTAAGGTTCTCCTAAAAATATAAATTGAAAAAATCGCGCTGATTGAGGTCCTCCTAAAAATATTCTTTAAAAAATTCACACTTTTTGTTTAACAGAAACCCCAAAAAATAATTCTTAAAATCCACACATGTGTATCTGATGGATGGTTTTGCGACATGAGGTTTAAAAACTAAGAGAAGAAAATAACGTGGCTCTCACTCATCTCAATCTCTCACTCTCTGTTGTAATCCGACAATTCAACAGTCAAGCTCAGTGCTGCCAGTTAAATTTCATGAAAAATCGTCAATTTTTCAGAAAAAAATCGGCATAATCGGCATTTGTATTTTTAAAAATCGGCAAAAAATCGGCAGCATATAATTTATAAATAAATTCATATTTTTTGGTTTATAACAAATCAATATTGTTTATTACATTAAAAAAATTCAATTCTGTATAACATAAAAGATTCATTTTTCTACAAAAAATGTAGATTTTTTTAAATATAGTAATTATTATGTACGCTAGTGAGATCTTTCTTTCGTGTGCGCACTTTTTATTCGTTTATTTTTAATTTTGCCTTATTCGATGTAAAATGTAAACTAGACAGAGTACAATGCTGACAAAAAATGCACATATCTAAGCCATTGAAAACGGCTGCGGCGAGTCGCCGATATTTATAGTGATTTAAAGCTGCAAATTTTATATGTTTGTCTGGTAACGCCGTATTAGATTAAAAAGTTAGACAATTTTTGTCGATTGTTGAAATATCGGCAATTCTGAGGCAAAAATCGGAAAATCGGCATTTTCCATTTTTAGAGTGAAAAATCGTCAAAATGCCGATAAATCGGCAAATATGGCAGCCCTGGTCAAGCTTCTGGTATTTCTTATGAGGGAAAACAAAACATCATGGTATAATAATAGAAGGTAAAAGCAAGTGTTGTTGTACAAAAAACGATACAACAACCACATGGAAATTTGTTGTTGTAAGTTCTACTAGTGTCAACTCATTTGACAGAAAAATGTAAACAAATAAACAAATTATCATCAAATTATTTTTATTTTGAAAATGAAATATTTTCGAATCCTCAAAATAAAAATTGAAAAACATGAATGAAAATCTATCAAATTTATATTTCTATCTATTCCACATCTTTCCTATAATTGAGCCATTGCCATATATATTTGTGACACATATGAAAATGCTGGGAATAGCGAGTTATTCCTTGAAGAAAGATTTGCTTCCTCAAACTTTCCCAGCAGGCAGATTGAGTAAATTGAATACAGGAGCACATTTAATGAAGAACAATTTTAAATTGTATGCGTTCCCAATTTTCCTGTTGGGTGATTTTTAAAAACATAATTTGTCAAATTCATATTGACACTAGTATAACGTTGGAATCAAATCAGCTGGGATTTGCTGTTACCTTTTATAATTGTATCATGACAAAACATCAACAAAAAAAAAAAAAACCCAGACGTCGTCTCTCCAAATGCCGGCCCAAAACAAAACATTGCACAAACGCACACATGAATCTGCGATATGTACGTGTGTGTGTTCTCCCCCAGTAAAAACAACTACAATATCTTGCTTTGCTATTTTCCGAATAATTTCGCTCTCGCTCATTTCGTTTAGTTTTGTTTAACCATTCGCCACGTTTTGTACGTTCGTTTGTTTTGACTGTGACTTCTGCTTTGTGCGTTTGTTCTGCCATAGCAGCTGATTTGTTGTTATTGCTGCTCGGACAGTAAACAAAAGAAGAAAAACTGAAAGAGGTGAAGAAAAAATGAAGGATTCGCATCAGTTGTAGAGCTGGCAAACTATCGATAGTCGCATCATTCGATATTTTCGATAGTTTGTTGGAAAACTATCGATAGTATCGAATAATGTGGGAATGCCAATATTAATTTTTCAATAATGCGCGCAACTTTTTTTCATTGTTCTATGTTATTAATTTGTGTGTTATAATTATTTTTGTATTATGGTTTTTGTTAAACTTTTGCGATTTTTATTAAAAATAAAAATAACTACTAACAAAACTCATCACAAATGTAATAACCATTCAAGTCAATATCAATAAACAACACCGATATGTACTTACATGTATTTTTAATAACGGACTCAATTATATTAAATGATCTAATGATTAATATTCTTTTATTAAGAAACGCTTAAGCAAAACAAATTGACATAAAAACAAAAAATATTTGGAATTCATTAGTACAGTTATTATTAAAATATGTACATATAGTAAATATTAATTATAAACTATATTTATAGTCAAAAATAACAGACAATAACGCTTAAACAAAACAACAACATAAAAACAAAAATATTTGGAATTCATTTTTATAAGGCACTTTGAGATCAACTTTTACAAAAAAATGTATTTGCATGTAGTAAAAATTAATTAAAAATTATATTTATATTAAAAATTAAAATAAAAACAGATAATAACGCTTCAACAAAACAACTAAACATAAAAACAAAAAATATTTGAAATTCATTATTACAGATACATTCAGATCTTATTTTATAAAAATATTTAATCAAATTAATTTAAATTTAAAATTATAATGAAAATTACCTTGAAAAAGGTATTATTTGTTTAAAAACCTTACTTCTTATAATTCTTTACTGACCCAACAATTTTTGTTAACAAAGAGCAGCATATCAACATTTTTTGGCTTTAAGCTCGATCTTCTTTCCGAAATTATGGCTCCGGTTTTGCTAAACATTCGCTCAGCCTCTGTCGAAGTTGCTGGTACGCATAAATAGCGTAAGGCACATGACTTTGTGAGTGACATTTGGCCAGAACAATTCTGAAAATAAACATAACACTTCGTAAATTTGTTAATAAATAGTTTTGTATTATATTATTTACCTTCCAGTACTGTAATGGATCTATTTCTAATGCTGCATTTTCATTTTCAAAATATTGCCTAAGAGAAATGATGGCGTCTACTTGATGTGATCTTACTTTAGAGGCAATTTTATTTCCTACGAATTTTAAAAGCGGTGGCTGCGAACTTTGATGAATATTTTTAGAACATGATGGTTCTAAATTATCTTGTTCCATGGTGTTGTTTTTGTTCATACCACTCAACACGTTTTGTAAAAATTGTGTTCCTCCATCTGCATTGCTTGGGAAAAGAAAACCTTCCTTCTTGAACCGAGGGTCTAATAATGTTCCGAGTCTTGTAACTGTACGCTCCTCGTAAGGAAATAGCCTTTTCTTTATTCTTTCAAGCAGAAATATACAAGCTTGATGGCCTTCTGAAGTTTTCATAGTACTTTTTAACTCATCAAGAGATTTAAAAAGACCACATGTTAGAGGAACTACTAGGGAAATAGTAACAGCTGCACTTGACGATGTTTGGACTGTAGCGGCATCAAATGGCATAAGCAATTGTTTAAGGTCCTGCAAAAATTCTATATCGTCTGCCGTTAAAGGTAGCGGTGCCTTTGGTGTCATTAGCAGTACATTTGAAATAGAATTATTTGTTAAAAGAATGCTCTCCACCATTCTGAGAGCACTGTTCCAGCGGGTCGGTACCTCCTGTTTTAGGCTGTGGGGCATATCTCTTCCTTGGTCCGCTTTAAACTTTTCGTAGGAAATTGTGCTGCTCTTAAAATAGCTCACAATTTTCTTACATTTCCCTAAAGTAGTTTTAACATAATCTTGCGCTAAGCAATCTTGCACCACAAGGTTAATAGTGTGTGCAAAGCATGGCAGATTTCGTTTTTGAAGCAATTCGCACGCTTTCAACATACTGCTAGCATTATCGCTGACAACTGCCACCACTTTCTCCATTAGACCCCACTCTTCTAACACGGCGCGCATAGATATTGATATATTTTCTGCGTTGTGATTAGTGGAACATAACATTTTTTTTGTAGACAAAACAGCTGTACGGAGAACAAAATCTTTTGTAACAAAGTGGCACGTTACGGTGAGGTAGCTCTCATTTGCGCGCGATGTCCATAGGTCTGTTGTAATAGCGCAGTGTTGTAACCCGTTAAGAATAGTTTGCAACTTACTCTTTGTTTCGTTGTACATATTTATCATCAGAACGTTTTTTAGGGTGTTTCTTGAAGGCAAAACGTAGCGCGGATCTAAGCATCGGACAAAATCACGGAATCCTGTATCCTCTACTACACTGAATGGCTGTACATCAGTGGCGATCAAAATCATTAAAGCCTTATCAAGTTCTTTTTTACGTGCCGATTCAGTATCGTAGGTGACTGAATTGTTGAAAAAATTATCAATTGTTTTCGTTGGTTTCGGAAGCTGATTATAAGAAGGATGGCTACGTTTTAAATGATCCAACAGATTTGACGTGTTACCGCTAGTTTTGTATATTTTCCCACACAGCTGATGCGAAAGGTATTATGGAGTGAATACAGACCATCGTATAAAACACAAAAAATCCATACAAAATCAACCAATCCGTCCTTTTCAGGGCGACAAAAAATATTTAAAAAGAGAAAAAATCATTTCAAACAATATTATTTCATTAGTTACATTTATTAAAAATAAAATAAAAAAAAATCCAAAAAATATAAATTTTTCTCCTTACAGCATTACATTTGTCTTTTATGAGACGAAATACATTTATTGTAGTCACATTTGAGTTTGCTTAAAATTTGTTGTTGTTTGCCGTTATAGTTCGAGGTATTTTGAAGAAGAAGAAGAAGCATGCTTGTGTTATGTTGTTTTTGCAAGGGGCAATTTAAAACGAAGAAGAAAGAAGAAGAAGAATACAGTTATTCCTGTTGATCAGTAGTACAGCTGGCTTGTATGACTCACAAAAAATAACCACCAAACACAAAAACACACACGCACGCACACACATAGTAATTTTATTGTAAGAAATCGTCTACCGCCTGAAAAATGAATTTAATAGGAATATTTTAATAAAATTAGAAAATATTAAAATCAAAAATATTAAATAAAAATGAAATTTATACGGACTTTTAATGAAAATTTTTGGAAAAATTTTAGAAAATGAGAAGCGATTTTATGATTTTTTTTTTTTTTTTTTTGTTTTGAAAAATAAAATGAAATAAATGGAAAGAAATGTTGAATAAAATTTTATATTTTAACACAAAAATGAAAATATTATTTTGGATTTTTTGGAAAATAAATTTAAATTTGTTTAGAAAAAATTATTACGTTATTAAATTGGAAATTTAATTTTTTAATTTAATTTAAATTTTTTAATTTAATTTAAATTTTAATTTTTTAATTTAATTTAAATTTTTTAATTTAATTTAAATTTAAATTTTTTAATTTAATTTCAATTTTAATTTTTTAATTTACATTTACATTTTAATTTTTTAATTTAATTTCAATTTTTTAATTTAATTTTAATTTTTTAATTTATTTTTAATTTTTTAATTTAATTTAAATTTTTTAATTTAATTTAAATTTTTTAATTTAATTTTAATTTTTTAATTTAATTTAAATTTTTTAATTTAATTTTAATTTTTTAATTTAATTTAAATTTTTTAATTTAATTTAAATTTTTTTAATTTAATTTTAATATTTTAATTTAATTTAAATTTTATTTTTTTAATTTAATTTTTTAAATTTATTTATTTATTTTATTTTTTAATTAAAATTATTATTTTTGTAATGTTCCACTCAATATGAACATCGTACTCACATCGTTGTTTGGTTCGTTGTTTAGTATCATGGACTAACAAAATACTACCACATGCATAGATAAAGTGACGCTATGGTATACATACATAATATAAGCAAGCATATGAACAAACAAGCAAAGGCATTTAGAAATGCATTTTTATTTTTACTATAATAAATAAAATAAAAATAAAAAAATAACAAATTTTCGATTTATAAAAAAATTAAATAAATTTTTTACGAATATTTTCAAAAATAAATAAAAAAAATTGTACAATTTACTAAAAATAATTTTATTTTTGTAATGAATTTTCTTGAAATGAGAACGTATTGAATTTTTTTTATTTTTGAAATTTAAAACACTGATGTGAATAGTCATGGCATTGCTTGTTGTTCTTTAACGTACGTATGTACTAATACATGTATAGGGTATGTGTAGTTATGGTATACACACATAATATAAGCAAGCAAGCATATGAACAAACAAGCAACGGCATTTAGAAATGCGAGTTGACGGCGGCATTTTTATATGGAAATATGTTCGAAGGAAGAAAATTTTTGTTTTTTGATAGAAATTTAGCGAAATTAAATAAGATTGTAATGAAAATGATGAAGTAAATTTTAATTGAATAAAAAAATAAAAAAAAATAAAAAATTTTCGATTTATAAAAAAATTAAATAAATTTTTTACGAATATTTTCGAAAATAAGTAGAAAAATTTAGAATTCATTACAAATAATTTTAATTTTTTAATGAATTTTCTTGAAATGAGAACGTATTGATTTTTTATTTTATTTTTGAAATTGAAAACACTGATGTGAATAGTCATGGCATTGCTTGTTGTTCTCGTGTTCGGTGTAGGTGACAGCATCACGAATAACGTTTTCCAGGAACACTTTCAGAACACCACGAGTTTCTTCGTAAATCAATCCAGAAATACGTTTTACACCACCACGACGAGCCAAACGTCTAATAGCTGGCTTGGTAATGCCCTGGATATTATCACGTAACACTTTGCGATGACGTTTAGCGCCACCTTTTCCCAAGCCTTTTCCACCTTTACCACGACCAGTCATTTTTCACTTTTTTTTTTTAAATTCACTTACGTTTATGTATATGTGTGCGTGTGTGTGCCCATTTAGTAGACATATATTTGTATTTACGAACACTCACCCTTAATCGTTGATGCTAACACAAAATTTTTCTATAAATACTCGTTTCTGGCGCGGTTCCCGAGTTATTACAGTGTTAACAGTGTTTGTGTGCATACCTAGTGAAGTGAAAAGAAAAAAATTAAAGTGAAAAATGGCTCGTACTAAGCAAACTGCCCGTAAATCGACTGGTGGCAAGGCTCCTCGTAAGCAATTGGCCACTAAAGCCGCTCGTAAGAGCGCACCAGCCACCGGCGGTGTTAAGAAGCCTCATCGTTTCCGTCCCGGTACAGTCGCTTTGCGTGAAATCCGTCGTTACCAGAAGAGTACTGAATTTTTGATCCGCAAATTGCCCTTCCAGCGTTTGGTTCGTGAAATTGCTCAAGATTTCAAAACTGATTTGCGTTTCCAGAGCTCTGCTGTCATGGCCTTGCAAGAAGCCAGTGAAGCCTACTTGGTTATTTAATTTATTTTATTTTTTTTTTCATTTTAATTTTGATTTCGTAAGAAATTATTTTCTTTTTTTAATTCTGGTTAAAATTTTAATTATTCAGATTTATTATTTAAATTATTTTATTATTATTTTTTTTCTTTGTTTCTATTTAAAATTTTTCCTTTGAATTGTCACATGATGAAATTTTTTTCACATTGTTTGTTTAATTGTTTTCTATTCACATTTTTCCAAATTGGCGGGAAAATGCTTCCCTCCATTTTTCCCCTTCCAAAAAAAAATCCTCTTATGTATAAATGCAATATGTTGTTTTTGGCGCGAAAAAAATTTCCCCTCAATATTTTTTTTTTTTTTTTTACAGCAAACATCCCCATGAATGAAGAATGAAATATGCATGTTTTTTCTTTTCCAGCTAATTTTCTACCATGTAAAAAAAATTCTATGTAATTTTATATTTGTCTCTGTATATTCCAATGAAAAATTTGGTGGGAAATATTTTTTGATTTCTAAAGGCAGAATTTCTCTATTCAAAAACTATTTTTTTTTAAAGAAAATTATAAATAAATTAGTATTTTTTAGTAAAATAATTATTAAAATTTCATATTTTGACTAAAAATTAATAGAAAATAGTAAATTCTTAATAATCAATAGGAATAAAATATTTTTGTAACGTTCGAAAAATTCCATGAAATTTCTTTGTACTCTGCTCTGCCATGAAAGGTAATAGTAAAAACGAAATTATTTTTAATATATTTTTTTTTGCCAAAATTTGGCAAAATTATATGGAAAATTAATAAATAACTGATTTATAAATTATTTTAGAATATTTTAAACAATTAATGACTTTTTATGAATAATGTTTTATTTTGGTGTAAATATACAAATTCTGAAATGTTTTTTAAGAAATTTTTATAAAAGTTAATAAGATTTGAGCTTTCAAATTTATTTGTAGAAAAAGTTTTCTTCATTGAAAATATGCCAACAAGAGGATTTCTGCTGTCATAGACCACATAATAAATTTAATTTTTTCTCACATAGAAAATGTAAAATTGGTCAATATTTTTGTTTTATCCTAAAGTAAACATATCAGGCTATATTATCAAAAAGAAATTTTACGAAAATTTTCAAAATTTTTTGGATTTTTTCCAAATTTAGTTAGAAATTTGTGATTTCAAATTCATAATCTTTGAAGTTAAACGTCTATAACTCGCTAACGGCTTATGATAATTACATGAAATCTTTTGCAAAATGAAGCCTGAAATCTATACTTTCGAAATGTAAAATATCTTTTTCGAGAATTTTCTAAGCTTCCTCGCAAAAAATTTATTTCCTAAAAAGGCTGCCGGCGAAAAGAAGACAGCTGCCAAAAAACCATCTGCCGCCAAAAAGACCGCTGAAAAGAAGAAGGCTGACAAAACAAAGGCCAAGGCTGCCAAGAAAACCGGTACAGTTAAGGCAAAACCCGCAAAGACCGCCGCTAAAGCATCTGCCACCAAACCAAAGGCACCCAAGGCAAAAACAGCCGCTGCTAAGCCCAAAAAAGCCGCAGCGCCAAAGAAGCCAGCTGCCAAGAAAGCCGCCGCCAAGAAGTAATTTTTCCCACAAAAATTACTTTGTCAAGAATTTTTTCGATATTCGAAAACATAATATCTAACAGCCCTTTTCAGGGCTACAAATTAAATTCTAAAAGAGACAAAATATTTATTTCATACTATAAACAAATTACTTTTATTATTTTTACTACTACCTAAATAAATGAGAAAATCCACATGTGTTTTAATTTTAGGAGAAAAAAAAAAGATTTTGCTAATTATAGTATTAGGTAAAAGTGTGCCTGTTTATTTATGGACATTCCACAAAATGACGCCACAAATGGATTATTTTTTTAATCCAGGTCATAAACTTTTATAATTTGCAATTACCTAATGGTAAAATATTTTAATATTTTCTGCTTAATTTTTGAATTTCGTAAATTTTCTTCAAAATTTGTAAATCGCCCCTTTAACGTTACAAAAACTAAATATTTTAATATTTTCTAAAATTTTTGAATTTCATTAATTTTTCATCAACAATTTATAATCACCATTTTAAACATATTTTTCCTTGGAAAGAATTCCACCACTAATTTTTTTCCCGCCAAAAAATCTCCCTACTTCATATTTGTCATATTTTAATTTTTTTTTAGAATTTTGGTATTTATTGAAAAAAAAAAAATATATGTAATGAAAAAAGACGAAAGAAAAAAATGTTGGTTTGATAAAATATAATTTATTTATGAAAAATAATATTCTGAAAAAAAAAAAATTAAAAATATGGTTTAAAATATTTTTTTTAATTTTATTTATTTAAAAATTTTCTTTATTAACTAAAAATGCATAAATATGGTTTCAACAAAAATTTGATCTCTTTTAAAATATTTTTTGTGGCCCTGAAAAGGGCCTTTTATGGTTGAATTTCGACGAATTAATGAAAAATCAAGGCATTTACTTGGAGCTGGTGTATTTAGTAACAGCCTTGGTACCTTCACTGACAGCGTGCTTAGCCAATTCACCGGGCAACAATAGACGAACGGCAGTTTGGATTTCCCGACTGGTGATATACCTTTGAGGAAATACCAGTATCAGGATGGACTTGCTTCAACACTTTGTAAATGTAGATAGCGTAACTCTCCTTACGCCTCCGGTTTTGCTAAACATTCGCTCAGCCTCTGTCGAAGTTGCTGGTACGCATAAATAGCGTAAGGCACATGACTTTGTGAGTGACATTTGGCCAGAACAATTCTGAAAATAAACATAACACTTCGTAAATTTGTTAATAAATAGTTTTGTATTATATTATTTACCTTCCAGTACTGTAATGGATCTATTTCTAATGCTGCATTTTCATTTTCAAAATATTGCCTAAGAGAAATGATGGCGTCTACTTGATGTGATCTTACTTTAGAGGCAATTTTATTTCCTACGAATTTTAAAAGCGGTGGCTGCGAACTTTGATGAATATTTTTAGAACATGATGGTTCTAAATTATCTTGTTCCATGGTGTTGTTTTTGTTCATACCACTCAACACGTTTTGTAAAAATTGTGTTCCTCCATCTGCATTGCTTGGGAAAAGAAAACCTTCCTTCTTGAACCGAGGGTCTAATAATGTTCCGAGTCTTGTAACTGTACGCTCCTCGTAAGGAAATAGCCTTTTCTTTATTCTTTCAAGCAGAAATATACAAGCTTGATGGCCTTCTGAAGTTTTCATAGTACTTTTTAACTCATCAAGAGATTTAAAAAGACCACATGTTAGAGGAACTACTAGGGAAATAGTAACAGCTGCACTTGACGATGTTTGGACTGTAGCGGCATCAAATGGCATAAGCAATTGTTTAAGGTCCTGCAAAAATTCTATATCGTCTGCCGTTAAAGGTAGCGGTGCCTTTGGTGTCATTAGCAGTACATTTGAAATAGAATTATTTGTTAAAAGAATGCTCTCCACCATTCTGAGAGCACTGTTCCAGCGGGTCGGTACCTCCTGTTTTAGGCTGTGGGGCATATCTCTTCCTTGGTCCGCTTTAAACTTTTCGTAGGAAATTGTGCTGCTCTTAAAATAGCTCACAATTTTCTTACATTTCCCTAAAGTAGTTTTAACATAATCTTGCGCTAAGCAATCTTGCACCACAAGGTTAATAGTGTGTGCAAAGCATGGCAGATTTCGTTTTTGAAGCAATTCGCACGCTTTCAACATACTGCTAGCATTATCGCTGACAACTGCCACCACTTTCTCCATTAGACCCCACTCTTCTAACACGGCGCGCATAGATATTGATATATTTTCTGCGTTGTGATTAGTGGAACATAACATTTTTTTTGTAGACAAAACAGCTGTACGGAGAACAAAATCTTTTGTAACAAAGTGGCACGTTACGGTGAGGTAGCTCTCATTTGCGCGCGATGTCCATAGGTCTGTTGTAATAGCGCAGTGTTGTAACCCGTTAAGAATAGTTTGCAACTTACTCTTTGTTTCGTTGTACATATTTATCATCAGAACGTTTTTTAGGGTGTTTCTTGAAGGCAAAACGTAGCGCGGATCTAAGCATCGGACAAAATCACGGAATCCTGTATCCTCTACTACACTGAATGGCTGTACATCAGTGGCGATCAAAATCATTAAAGCCTTATCAAGTTCTTTTTTACGTGCCGATTCAGTATCGTAGGTGACTGAATTGTTGAAAAAATTATCAATTGTTTTCGTTGGTTTCGGAAGCTGATTATAAGAAGGATGGCTACGTTTTAAATGATCCAACAGATTTGACGTGTTACCGCTAGTTTTGTATATTTTCCCACACAGCTGACACTTAGCATTTCTTTTATCTGTTGTTTTTTGAAAACAGTTCCATACTTCTGAGAAACCGTGGCGTGCTCTTTTTGACTTATTAGTTTCCCCACCAATCGTGCAATTTTCACGTTCTTCTTCATTTTCATTACCAGTTTCTTCTATGGAAATGGAGGTAGAAATATCTGTAAACATTTTTAATCAACAATTGAACAAAATATAAATAAACACATTTTACTTACCGTTTGGTCTTTTCAGATATCTGTTCATTTTAAACAGTGTTCTGTTTTTTACATATATTTATGACAAATCAAAGTTGATAAATTAACGACGCGGTTTATATAGAAGATATCTAAGTCGTTTAATTAACAAAGTTGCGCCTCTAACTGAATAAATGCCGGAATCCGTTTTTTCAACGATAGTATCG